GTGGCATAGAAAAGCCTTGTCAATACAGGAGAGACAGTGAAACTGAAAAAAAGACTAATACTGTGTAAGGCCCCAGAGCAAGAAGGCTTGGAGGGATAGACCTCTTTACTTCCCCCTGTGGAAGAAAGGGGAAAAGCTAGCTCTGGCAGGCTTAATTTACATATTGTAATTTCATCCCTGTACACTTCTGCTCAGTGCTTCATGGTGTATTGTTTGGAGATTGGTTGTGTCTGTTTTGGAAATTATCTGAAATGTTATGTAAGAGTGCAGGGGACTGGACTAGAAGACCTCTCGAGGTCCCCTCCAGTCCTACACCCCTATGTACATAAAGGGGGAAGAGCTATGAAAGTTAAAGCCTGGCGAAAAGTGGGTCACCCTGTTCTAAAAGGTAGTGAGTGGCCCAAAACTCAAGGAGACAGAATCCTTCCATAGTCTCTATCTGGGAGACAAGGGGGTTCTGTTCAGAGATTCAGGTTTTGTGTTGGGCTATGCTAAGAACTGGGTTTCCTACCCAGAACTTTAGAACCCTGTGAGATGTTCTTTTGCCACACTAGTAGTGACTCTGCAAGACTGCCCTAGTGAAGTGGAGCGGGATCTACTGCTGCTGGACTCTAGACTAAAGCACCCAGGTTGGGCGAGCTGCCTCCCACCATCCACTTGACCACCACTTGATCTAATCAGGGTTATGAGTGAGTTGTAGGTGGGATGGAGTTTGTATAGTGGGCCTTACCCATAGGCGGCAAATGATAGGGCCCAGTGGGGTCCTTTCTCCACCAGTATGCAGGAATATGGGCCTGGCTCCAATGTTTGGGCTTATATTTAATCAGTCGTCCTGTTCCTAGGAAGGACCAGGGCAACCACCCTGGGCCCTGCACTTTAGGGGGCTAGCAGAGGGGTCCAGTACCAGCAGCAGCAAGCAACCCAGCCCCTGCCCCCCCACAAGCCTCTGCCCCGCTCCTTTCTGGCTTTTACCCCCTCCCTCGAGCGATGCCGGTGGGGCAGAGCAGGGCAGGCTGGGGCCAGGTTGCTTGCTGCTGCCAGTTGCAGGCCCCTGCTAACCCTCCAGGCCACCCTGGACCCTGCATCCCCCCTGAAGCATGGGGCCTCCAAAGCACGGTGCCTGGGGCTGTTGCTCCAGTCAGCCCTACAGACAGGACAGCTCTGCTTGGACCCATTCTCAGCACCACCAAAAATTATATAAACCTGGCACTCAAGGCCCTACCCATGTACCTTAGTTGGATTTTGCTGATTTTTATTCTGTAAATATCCACTTGCTGTGTTCTACCGAAGAAAGGGCTTGAATGACTTCACATTCCAGGGGATTCCTGAACTGGAAAGGTAACTGGGGGAGGTTGCAAGGTTGCTTTGTGGTTTCCTAGTGCCAGACCTGGGAGTGCAGCTCTGAGAGGAGGCTCAAGCCATGTTTCATTCCATTTAGAAGAGGTCCCCTAGATTGACTGAACCTGGCTTCTGTTGCTGGCCTCTGTATCTGGCAGAATGGTTACAGGTGCCAATAACTTGGTTGCTGCTGCAGCAACCAGCATTGCTTACTATACAGGGATGTATCAAGTGCCTCTTGTGGAATCCTTTATACCACTTGAAAGTTCAGATACTCTGCTCTCAGGTGGCATCAGCTATTCACTTTTTTGCTCTGGTGGATCAGGGTTATCAGCCATTAAATCTGTCATTTGGTCCCTCATGTATTTTCTGTTAGCTCTGACCCAGAGCTCATTCTAGCAGCTCTTGGACCAGAGAAGCTTTGCTAAGGGCCTTGCTAGAAAGCATTTGTAACCCTTTTTTAACAGCAAGTGAAGCACAAATGCTACTGCCTGGAGTGACTTCTTTTTCTTTCAAGACAACTGCGATAGCCATGTGTGAACATCATGACAGCCCTGATAATTTTTTTACCAGTTTTGGGAGCTATTGATTTTTAGCCATGTATTATGGGTGCTGAACACTCGAAAATCTGCTGCCAAAGTGCTCTTGAAAATCTGCTCTCCGAGCAGATGGATGATCTAACTTCAAATTGCAGTTTTTTTTTAAAAAAATGAAAAGCCATTTCATCCCTTGAGAACGAGTAACTTCAAATTGTATATCGGGAAGAAGCTTTCTAAGGAGGAGAGCATTAGACTGGCAACACTAGAAACTCCATCACCTGAGATTTTTAAAATTATGCTGGGTAAAGCATTAAAGACCATAGTGTGCTGGCTGGTATGTGGCCTAAATGTCCTATCTACCATTCCTGCTCTAGTCCCTATAGGATATGGGAGGAGGATGACATGCAGTAGCTTTTGATGCACTGGTTACATGGCTAGACACATTCCAGCCAGAGATTTTTATGAGCAATGTGGCATGTGTCCACATAAGTGCTTGTTGAAACTTTGTTTTGTTAGTGGCCTTTAGTATGACATACAAAAGGAATCCTTTGTGTTGTATCTCGATCTGCAGGATGACGGTTCCATCTTCATTAAGAGCACAAGTCCCTAACTCAATAAGGTTGATTTTTCAGAAGGGCTCAGCAATCACAACTGAATCCAGACATTCAACAGTGCTAGGCTCCTACTTTCATAGTGGTTTTTTTAAGGGCAGAAGGGACCATTATCATGCAGTTTGATCTTTTTTCATTTCAGAGTAGTAGCCATGTTAGTCTGTATCCACAAAGAACAAGAGTACTTGTGGCACCTTAGAGACCTCTTGTGCCTAGTGCAGGCCATTGGCTGCTGAGCTGTTTTGAGACACTGGCCATCATATGCCACAATAGGAGATGTGGGGTGCACCAACACTTTGCTAAGTCTGGCCCTCATTTAGGTGTTTAAATGGGAGCTGAATTCTTTTCAAACTCTGGCCCCCAGTTGAAGGTTCTGAAGCCTTAAATGTGGCCGGAGATAATACAATTCTAGTGCGCATTTCTCTTCAAACTGAAAGCATCTTAAAATATCTCACTTCTCTGCCTGGAAAATGAAAACAGACTTGTCTGTTTCTCTCACAGGTTCTTATTTGTTGGTTCCACAGTACAACATTCCAGTTAGACTCGTTGCCAGGATTGTTTATTTTGTCTTTTGAAAAAATGTCTATTTGATTTTTTTAATTGTTGTTGGCCTTACGTCTTGTAAACGCTTATTTTTAATACATAAATGTAGGGCAAACCACCTGACAGTGTCCCTTTTAATTAATGTTTGTAATTGAGGAATATGACCTCTAGATGGCAGAGTTTCCTTCTTTTGTGCTTTATTGTCTCTAGCTGCTCACTTCCATTCAACATAACTAAGCTTATTGCAACAGAGTTTGATATAAGATACCTTTTTTGAGATCTATGTAGTCTGAGAATAGGTGGCTCAGCAACTTGCTATTGGGGTTGGAGGTCTTTTCTTTAATTCACCAGTTCAATCTAGCAAGTGATGGTTTAGTGCACACATCTCAAGTGTCCTTTACATGAGGGTCAAAGTACCCTGCATTCCACCCACAGTTGGTGACCCCCTCACTTTCATTATGGACAAGTGCAGAATCTTGAAACCAAGGTTATAGCAGAAATTGCTTACCCCATTTAGACCGTAAATTCTTACGGGCAGAGACTGTCCCTGTCTCTGTCTGTATAGGGCTTAGTGCAATGGGGCAGGTTGAGGGGTGCCTTTGTGAAATGAGTTCAGGGGTTTGGCTCCATTACCCAGTGGGCAAGTGTCTAAATCACAACTAGCACCACTGGTGGCCTTGTCAGCGGAGACTGGTGATATCTTGGGCCGTTAGCAGTTTTCTTGGCTTTTACGGGCCAGCATGGGCATGTAGCACTCACTCTAAAAGCATATTTTGAATTGGTAAAAATGTTGACCCGCTTTTTTTTTTTTGACAGTTTGAGCACACTGGTCAGGGCTACTAGCTCAACCAGCTGGGCAGAGGTCCCAGTGGGCAACCCCTCGGCCTTTACAGTATCATGGAGGGTCACGACAGCATAACCCGCCCTTCTTTGCCCATTTATGACAATGCTGCTACCATTAGTGAACCACTCATAATTTGCATTTGGGAGCAGCTGATTCTTTAAGTCTTGGCGGCTGGAGTATTGGGCATTTATGATCTTTAAACAGTTGTTTTTTTGTACCTCTTTCTGACAAGAGGGTGGCTGGGTTAAGGGTGGGGCAAGACTGCAGGGTGACCTCGGGGTTCTCGAACAGCTTAGCCTGGTACCGAGCTATCTGAGCCTGGGTGGGCCAGAGGCCACCCTTGGTGTCCAGCAGTGCTTGGACCATATGGGGAGTATACACTTGCATGACTCCTCCCAATGTTAGCTTTTTGGCTTTTTTAAGTACTAGGGCAGTAGCCGCAGCCGCCCGTAAACATGCCGGCCAACCCTTTGCAGCCTGGTTAGGTTGCTTAGAAAAATAAGCCACAGGACGTTTTCCAGGTCCCCAACAACTGGGTTAGCACTTTCAGGGCCACCCCTTTTTGTTCATGTATATACAATTGAAATGGCTTAGAGATTTGGCAGACCCAGTGCTGGAGCTTTTATTAGCTTTTTTAAAGATTTTTAAATGCCTTGTTGGCTTTTGGGGACCAGTGAAAGGGGTTGTGATTTGTTTGACACTGTTATATAACAGTTTAGCCATAGTTTAAACTTTGGGATTTATATTCTGCAAAAGCCCGCCATACCCAGAAAGGCCCTGAGCCGTTTACGAGTGCTTGGGGTAGGGACCTGACACATAGCTTTTTTTTTTTTGTTTGAAAGCTGGTGCTTTTCTTGCTGTAAGTGAAACCCTAGGTATTGTACTTTTGGGAGGGCAATTTGAGCCTTACTCCATGCAACCTGATATTCTTGATACATCTCCTCGGGCTTTTCCATGGCCTCCAAGGTATCTGAGCATCCCCCCAGAGGCATAGGGTTCTTTTTTCTGGGCAGCAGAGGATTTCATTTTTTGACCTGGTTTTATGCATTTTTTTTTCTTCCCCTTTCTGGATTTGTTTAACCTCTGACATGGGGTTCCCAAGACCGTGTCATAGAGGTGGGTTTCCATTTTGCTGTGGAGGTGCTGAGGTTTGTGTCATCCCAAGGCCTCCCAGGAGCAAGTCCCAGGTTTGTCAGCTGGCTGCTGAGGAAGCTCTGCCTCCTGCACAGGGGAATTTGACTCTGGAGGCTGACAGTGGAATAGAGCTATGGTGGTTCTTTGGGGAACCTGCTGGTCCAATCCCATGTATGACAAGGAAGATGAGAACCAAAACCTTGAATGTGACCCAGTATTCTATGCCGAGCCAGTGCAGAGAGCAGAGCACGGGGGTGATGTGAGCTCTGGGGCAGAGCAGATGTGCTGCTGCAGTGATCTGAACCAGATGTAGCTTTCTATTTTATTAAGGTTGGCAGTTGCATTCCTACATTTGCAGGAATAGAGTCCTAGATGCTAAGGCCTGAAGGGCTCATGATGGTTGCCTAGTCTGAGCACCTGCACAGCACAGGTGAGGGGATTCCACCCAGCAAGCCCTGCAGGGAGGGAATTATACTTCCTTTTTTCCTGAAGCAAACACAGTCAAGCCCAATAATGTGCAGTAATAAGAGCCAGAGGTCACGAATGATCACCACAGCCAAGTCCAAATCCACCAAGACAGGGCACAGTTGTCTTGTGAACTGCAGGTGGAAGGATGGGCCAGTGGTTAGGACACTAGCATGTGAGAGGCCCATGTTCAAGTCCTTTCTCTGCCACAACCTTCCTGTGACCTTGGGCAAGTCACTTAGCCATCCCGTGCCTCAGTTCCCCATCTATAAACAGCACTACCCTGCCTCCCAGCAGCATGGTGAGGATAAATACATTAAAGATTGTGAAGTGCTTTGAGATCTAGTGATGAAAGTGTCTATGTAACACTTCTGTATTATTACAGAGCCCCCCACTCCCAGGGAGCCCTGACTGGTGGGATTTGCTCAAACAGGAGAATCCAACCTCACAGAGCTCCAGTGGGCTAGAGAGCAGGCAGGAAATCCTGCTCATACTTCCTGCTGTGAGCTCTCCTGCAAGGAACTGCACTTGTATGGGCTGCTGAGAGTGCACCTGTGCAGTGACAGCTGCTGCTGAAGGGTGCTAGCAGGCCAGGTGTCCAAGCTCTGGGCTGTGGCCTGGGCTGAGGGAGCAGCCTGAGCCTGGGGCCCTGATGAGCCTGCACCACAGTGACTGTGAGGATCAGACAGAAGGAGGCCCCACCTCTGTGACTGAGGGTCTGCTTGGTGCTGATGGACATGACTGTTGCTGATTACAGTGGTGGGGTGATTTCTGGGTGAATCCCTGCCTACCCAAGGGCAACAAGGAGGGGTCTCCATCCCAAGGCCAGGGGTGGGAGTTTGGCATGAACTACCACCAAGGGGCACCCCCACCACACGTCTCCTTAGGCTTCAACCTGCTGCTCTTGATCCAGTTGCTGACCTCAGCTGTGAGATGATGTCACTTGCATCTGATGGGCAGGTGCTGTGGAGCTGAGTGTCCCCTCCATGTCTTCTCACAGTCTCCCCTGGTGGCTCCACATGGAGACTGTAGCAGTCTTGGCAGGAGGATGAATCTCTATGGGACTCTACAGGCAGGAGCTCTGGAAGAGGAGAAGCAGGTGATTGTCTCCCTGGGTTGGGTCTGACAGCAACAGCTGAACCCATCTCATCTAGTGCTTGCTCCATCTCTGAGGAGGGATGGCAGGAGTCCATGGTCAGATGTGTCAGATCCAGGGGAGAGGTCCAGTCATGAGCATGGACATACAGCCCTTGTCCATGGCCACAAGGAGTTCCCCATCAGGGCCAAGAGCATTATCGCTGTTCCCACCCTGGCCTGAAGCCTGACTGAAAGGGGTTCAGGATTCTGATTCCACCTTGGTGGAGCTGGACATGACCTGGGAGCGATTCTCAGCTGCCTTCCTCAGGAATGGGAGGATAAATACTAAGTGGTTGGAGATCAGTTGTGGTGAGCGATGGTATCTGTCCAGCTACAGCCTCTGAGAGAAACAAGGACAGAAGACAGGTTTCAGAGTAACAGCCGTGTTAGTCTGTATTCGCAAAAAGAAAAGGAGTACTTGTAGCACCTTAGAGACTAACCAATTTATTTGAGCATGAGCTTTCGTGAGCTACAGCTCACTTCATCAGATGTATACTGTGGAAACTGTGACATTTCCCTCTCTCCCAGCTCTGTACCATCCTGCTCCCCTCAACATGCCTGATGTTTTGTGCATTCTCATGTGGTCCGGCTCCCATTGTTTGCAGCTCAGTATCCTGGTTTCAGGTTAGTAGGGAAGCTTGCTTTCTTGCTGTCTCTGCCTAGAGACCCTCAGTCTCCACAGGTGTCAGGATGGCATGTTTAATTGGCACTAAAGTTCTACAAAACCTTTTTTAGTCAAACTATTCCTCATTATACAGAGAACAGTTCAATCAATATGAAACCAAGAGTAAACGAAAAGATACTTGGAACACAACAGCTCTGAATCTGACTGATAACCACCAACAGTTACTTAAGTATTAACCCTCAGTTAGCAACATTACAGGACTAAACAGCATAATTCTATATTAGCTTGGTTAAATTAACAATTACATAGAAAGTATGCTCTTGTGGCTGAGGCACTAGACTGGGACTCTGAAAATTTGGGTTTAATTTCCAGTGATTCTATGCTGTGGGCAAGTCACTTAAAAGCCTACTGCCTCAGTTTCCCCATTTGTAAAATGGGGAGAAGTACTTCCCTACTTTACAGTTGTGATGAGAGGAGAAAGCCATGAATACCTGGGAGCAACTCCGAGTAAGGTGATGGAAGCAATACAAGTAGATGTTGTGTTTCATTGCAAGCATAATGCTAGAAAAGAGCCAAGAGTGGCCTTTTCAAGCCAGCCCCTCTGAACTGGGAAAGGAGTCAGGCAAAGCCAAACGGAGTCCATGGGTGATGTCTGGCTTCTGAATCAAAATCCCACAGTTCCTGCTTCAACTAAAGCCATTCCAATGGCACCAATGTTGCTGGTGAGGAAAAACTCCCTCATGGAGTGAAAGATGCATGGGAATGTGAGGAAGGCCGCTGGAGTCAGCATAGGGTGACCAGACGTCCCAGTTTTAAACAGACTGTCCCTTATTTAAGGCCTCCTGCAGGTGTCCCAGCTTTTCTTCAAAACAGGCAAATAGTCCCATATTCTCTGTCTTACCCCCGCCCCCCTCCTACCCCCCCATCTGTACCAGCAGGTCCTGCTGCTGGCTGGATCCCTGTTGGCCAGCCACCTGGCCAACAGGGATCCAGCCAGCAGCAGGACCTGCTGGTACGGATGGGGGGGTAGGAGGGGGGCGGGGGTAAGACAGAGAATATGGGACTATTTGCCCAACAGGGGTGAGCGGGGAGGTCCAGTGGCCAGCAATGGGGGTGGGTGCATAAGGCTGGTGGTTGGGCGAAGATACAGCACACAGGGATGGCTGCTGATCCAGCAGCACAGCCCCCACTGCATGCTGGCTCTTGGCCAGCAGGACTCCACCCTGTTTTTTGGCTGACATGGGCTGCGCGCTGCAATGGCTGGTGAGGTGTGGGCCAGCAGTGGCTGGTTACTTGTCACCTCTGCTGCCCACCCATTGGCCCTTTACATGCTCCCCCCTCTCGCTGTCCTCTCCCTGCTTTGCCCCGTTGCCTTCTCCCTATCCCCCCGGCAGGACACATCCTGCTCCCAGCACTGTGTGGAGAACCAGCCCCTGGTCAGAGCACTCGGCTCACCAACAGCCTGGCTGGCAGGCTCCTTCCTTCCCCCACTGCCTCTGGCTGGGCTGGTGCCCTGGGAAAGCCCAAGACCCACCAGCCCAGGGTGCTGGCCAGAGGGAGCTGAGCCCGGCATGTGCCAAAGCCCTGCATAGCACTGGCATGGGGAAGCCTCTCCACCCCTCAGCTAAGTTCTGGAGTAGGAAGGGGAAGCTATTTTTTTTTTCCAGCCTGTTCACACCCTGAACCTGCAGGCTCCACAGCAGCCCCTGGGGCAGGGGCTTAGCACCCTCTTCACCTACCTTTCCCCCTCCCCAGGTCCTGTCCCCAGGGAGCAGGAGGCTGCTCCATCCCAGGGTACCCTCCCCTGCTGAGCCACCTCTCTGGCCAGGTTCACGGAAGCCCCTGCAGGCAGGTTCCCTGGGCCCTGGTGTACAGTGCATCCTTAAAGCTTAACCCCTTCCTGCCCATGCTGTAGCCAGAGGCGGGTGGGTTATGTCGTGGCCAGCAGCAGCCTGGAGGTGTTACCTGTCTTTCGACACTGTGTGTTCAGGAAGGGATGGGGGGGGGAGGAGAGATGAGCTCTGCAAAGACATGGGCCAGGACATCCCTTCCTCACCTCCTCCTCCCCTGCAGCTGGAAGCAGCTCCTGTCCCTTCACTCCTGCACAGTGCTGAAAGGATGCTGCTGGCCATGTTGTGGTGTGAACCCTGGAAGAAATCTGGCAAGGGGGAGTCATGTGACCCTGCATTTCCCCCCCTCCACACGTGTTGCCTCTGGAAGACATGGTACCAGGAGAGGCGGGTCCATCCTGGGGGCCCAGCCAAGCATGGAGGGTGGAGGGCACTGGGAAGGGAGGGTCAGAGCAGTCGGTCACGCCCCTTCCCCCATGTGAGAGGTGTACAGGAGTGTGTGACCTCTCCCCGTGGGGGTGTGTGTGGGGAGGGGGGGAGGGAGTAGGCATGTGTTTGTCACCCCTCCCCATGTGAACCCTAAAGCCTTACAGATAAGGTAAATAAAAAGAATCCCGCTACACTGTATTTCTTTTTAACAGGGGCTCAGTCAACTTAATGTTAATTTGAACATTTGTACTGCATAGTTCTGATGGATTGATTGCAGCTGAACTCACTTGAATATGAGTAATTTTACTAGGTGCCTTCCACATAGGGAAATGTGGTCACCCTAAGTAAGACCACAAGTAGACTAGGTTGTCTTGCATCCAGTCAGGTGTGACACTCACTGAGATGGTCTAATTCCCACTGAGAATTGGGAACATAATGCTACTGAAATTGAAATGCCTTTGAGCCATTCAACCAGAGACAGCAAGAGACTGGCTCCAGGGAGAGACAGGAGGTCATGAGTTCCTGCGTGAGTCACACCTGGGGCTGACTCCCATTAGAAACTGAGCTGTGCCCTTGTGATCAGTACTTGAGGGCCATGCAGGGAAGAGAGCTGGGAAACCTCACTCCTGGCTCAACCTGTCCAAAGCAGGTAAGGATTTTCTTAAAGGGTGGGGAAGCTTATGTTAACTTGATGCTAACTTAATTCACTGCCCCTTCCTCATGCACATCCCAGGCTCTGTGAGACCTAAATCAGAACAACAATCCCTGCATGGTAATGGTAACCTGTCTGCTAACTCAGACAATGAAGTTGTTTGGTTTTGTAAAGCTAAACCGCATTAACCTTTTCAGTCCTTGGATGAGAAACTACCATGCAGAACCCTTAGTGATGGTTAGGACCGAGGGCCAAGATGTTCTATAATGATGGGCGGGGCCCCAAACCTGAATCACCTTAAAAGTGCCTCATTCTCAAAGGGCAGGTGCTCAGCTTGTTCTGAGCATCAAGCCGTCTTAAGATGCTTCAAGTTACACACCCCAAATTTGTCATCACATGAAAATCTTGGCCAAGGGGGTCTGTCTTCCCTGATAGCAATGAACCCACATCCTACCACAGAGTTAGGGGTCACTGTGCTAACTTTCAGACCAGATGAGGAAACTGTGTGGCCCCAATCTATTAGTGACTATCTCTGCTGGCAACTGGGAGCCACTCCACTGAAGTCTCTGGGGTTTAAAAATCCAAACAAGTGGATTAAATGAGAGCAGAATCAGGCTCTGTGTCTTGCATGGGGCTGTGTGGATTGGCACTTAAGAAATCATAATAGATGTCTGTCTGGGGATCTGGAGAATACTGCGGAGGCAGAGAGAGGAAGGAATAGAGTTTCACCTTTTATTCTTTCATCTTGGCAACAATACACACCGTGTGTGTGCTGGGAAAAAGTCTGTGAATGGCCAAATTAACAATAATATAAAGAGGACCCCCCCTCGCCTCCCCCATACTACCCCTCCCTCTCCCTCTGCCGTCCATTCAGATGGCTGACAATAAACAAGGTCATTTGATTCATTCAGTTCTCAGTGTAAACAAGGTCTCACAATAAAATCCCCCTCTGCCCCCCCTTTTTCTCTAAGAATAGATTTCCCCCCTCTTTCCCCCCCCCACCAGGGCCCGGCTTCTCTTCTCCCTTCATCCCTGGATAGCCTGCCACTGCAAATCCAGCCCCACTGCCACTTCCTTGCTCCCAGTCCAGGCTTTGTGAGGCCCTGTTTCCTATTCGGTGTGGGAACCTCAGCTTCCCTGGGCAACATCTGCACGGATGGCCCGGCTTTCTCATATGTGTCAGAACAAATATCACCTCTTGGCAACCAACAACAACCTGCCTCGCTGGGGCTTTGCAATCCAGGGATAAACAATCAAGGGACCCGAATCCCCCACCTTGGGAAAGAACTCCCAGCAGCCAGAGCTTGGGATCAGCTTCCTTTCTTCCCAGGCTGCTGGGACTTCTTCCCCCCCAGGGGCATTCTGGTCCCTTGATTGTACCTCTTTCTACCTGCGCTGCTGCTGGCAGCATGTGTGCGCGCTGGGGGTGGAAAGGAACTGGGCAGTTGTGTGCGGTGTCTGGGTATTGGGCCCTGGAAGTAGGGGTGGGGGTGTGTGTGTGTGTCAGACCAGGTATGGGTACTGGGCTTGGGGAGGCTTACTCAGGTGACTTGCCCTTCCCCTATTCAGGGCTTGCCTGCCAGGGGCCAGATCATCCCCTGGAGCAGGCAAGGTCATCCCTGAGGCCTGGCTAGGGTGACCAGGTGTCCCGTTTTTGAACGGGACTCTAGCGGCTCTGGTCAGCACCGCCAACCAGACTGTTAAAGGTCCCATCCGCACTGCTAAGGCAGGCTAGTCCCTACCTGTCGTGGCACCGCCCTGCGCCCCAGAAGCGGCCAGTAGGCCCAGCTCCTGGGTGGGGGTGGGGAGGGGTCACAGGGCTCCACGCGCTGCCCCCACCTCCTGCCCCGCCTACTAGCGTTGGACCTTCTGGCCGCTTTTGGGGCACACGCAACATGGTGTCAGGACCGGCAGCCTGCCTTAGCCCTGCTGCACCACTGACCCAGGAGCCACCTGAGCTAAGCCTGCACCCCAACCCTGCTCCCAGCCCTGAGACCTACCCCAGAGCCCACACCCCCTCCTGCACCCCAGCCCTGGGTCCCTCCAGACCTGGAGCCCCCTCCTGCACCTCAAACCCCTCATCCAGAGCCCACACCCCCCTGCACCCCAAACACCTCATCCCTGGTCCCACCTCAGAGCCGGCATGCCCAGCTGCAGCCAACACCCCCGCCCTGCACCCCAAGCCTCTACCCCAGCCCAGTGAAAGTGAGTGAGGGGAGAGCGAGCCATCAAAGGAGAGGGAATGTAGTGAGCAGGGGGTGGGGCCTTGGGGAAGGGGCGGGGCTAGGGTGTTCTGTTTTGTGCCATTAGAAAGTTGGCAAGCTTAAGCCTAGCCCAATTTATGCCCTTGTTAAAATGGCCCCTATAGGCAACTACATGGGTGCAGAATCCACATGGGTTGGCCCTGCATGTGTAATCATGCCCCCTACCTGCCCTAGACATGCTTCTACTCTCTTCCATGCCCTCCCTGGAAGAATCCTCGTAGAGCTAGCTCTGCCCTTGGCACTGTGGTTTCCTGCACCAGGGATATTCGCTGCAAGGTCCTTCTGCCTGCCCTGTGCCCCCTTGGCCAGCATAGCCACACAGCACCAGTGAATTGGGCCCTCTGCATAAGTGTATAAGAAGGAGGTGGTGTGTGAGTGGCCTGAGTTTTCTGCTTTGATCTATGTGGGTGGAAATCCGGAGCAATGCCCCTGAAGTAAACAGGGCCCTGATTTTTACCTTTGGTAGCTCCACTGACTTAAAGAGGGTTTACTCCTGATTTAAGCTGGTGAAAGTGAGAGGACAGTCAAGCCCTGTGTGTATGTGGCGTTGTGTGTCTAAGTCAGTCTGAGTGTGGTAGGTTATTATCTCTCTTCCTAGAAAACAGCATGAGACCTTTCCCCTGACACATCATCCTCTCACTGCGTTTGCCATGGGCGGAAGCAGTACAGTCAAGGACATTAGGTTCTCACCAGCTTCCTTTCTCCCTCCTCTGGGTTGATACAGAGACGGATAAGTCAGGAGCTGTGCAGAGAAGCAGAGGGTTTCCCAGCATGCTACGCTTATTGCAGCTGGCTTCTAATTGAGAATGATTAGCTCTGCAGCAGACAGGGTGAATATCTTTCAGCAACACCTTTTGAGAGGGATAATCTGCTCAGCGTTTTGTACTCATTCTGGTCTGCTAGAACATTGTCACATTGTGCAGTTTGACTAGCACATGGATTGGAAGGGTGGCTTTATTTTTCCTTTCTTGCAGAAAGGTCTTTATGTATTTTTTTTTTTTTAAAAAGGCTGAAACAAGTGGAAGATGTTTAAAGTCCTGCTATATTTGAAGTTTAAGTAAATTTCCCACTGTGTATTTATATTTTTTCAATCTAAAACAGACCATATAATGTCAGACAATGATGCAGCTGACTGAATAAGGTCCACTGTGTGAAAGGTGTGCTTTGTGGCTGAAGATGTCGAATGGTTAAGGCATGGGGCTCAGGGGAACTGGGCTCAATTTCTGGCTCTGCCACAGATTTCCTGTGTGTGAGCTGGGGGCAGTCATTTTAATCTTTCTGTGCCTCAGTTGAGATAAATACTACTTCTCTTCCCCACCCCCACCCTTTGTCTTTATTTAGACAGTGAGCTTCTTAGATCAGGAGTCTTTTACTCTGTTTGCACAGTGCCTAGCACTATGGAGACATGATCTGTGACTACAGTCCCGAAGTGCTACAGAAATACAAATAATACAGCACCTGGCACAATGGGGCCTTGAGCTCAGTTGGGGCTTAACTAATTTATTTTCCTCTTACCAGTGCAGAGAGATTATGTACAGAGTTTCCTGTTATTGGTTAGCCAATATAACCATTTTTTACAATTCAATTGTTTTTTAAAAAGAATGGATTTTTAGCTATTTTTTTAAATTGACTTTTCCCTTGACTCCTTTCCCTGAATTTAGTACTGGGGAGTTAAATAGTATATTTAGAGATGGAGGAGCTAATTAATGTGGTTTCACACCTTTTCCTGCATTAAGCAAAAGAGAATTCTCCCAACTGAACTGTAAGAGGGAGGAAAACTCAGATGAAAGTGTCAGAACATGCTTTGCAAATAAATGTAACGGATAAAACTGAAATCTACAGCTTGATGACAAGTTATCATAGGCATAAAACAAACACCCTTTCAAGGTGGAGAACACCCTCCCCCAACACACTGTACAAATCCTTAATTCAGTTGCCAAAGTGTTAGCAGGTCCAGCATGCTCTTGCACCAACAACCTATGTAAATTAATCCAGTTACAGGCACCAAACCCAGGAATAGCTTGCACTAGCTTTCCCTCTCCTTGCTATAAATGGATTGCATCTGGGTTTCCTTGGTGGTTCTGATAAAAATGGGAAAGAACTATAGTCCCTGGCGAACTTTCTCTGCACTGAAACTGTCAGAGGAAAACTGGCCTAAATAAATAAATAAAAATGGGGAGAGAAGGGTTGATCTGAAAGCTCATTATTTGAATATATTAAAAACCTTTATTGGTCTATCACTGAAAGTGAATGAGGAAATTTAGTTGTAGGTTATGTTGGTTCTGTATTAAAATTCCTAGTACAGTATATTTGATCCTTGGTTACTACTACTGTCTTAGGGTTGGAAAATACAATACAGCCTCATCTACCTAAACTTCAGAATAACCTAGGTTACCTCACAATATCTGTGTGAACCACAATTCAGATGAGTCGGGGGTAGGAAGGCAGTAGACCCTGACTGTGTGAGATTGTTCCTGAAATACTTGGTGCAGTTCTGGGTGTCTCAGTATCAGAAAGATGCTCATAAACTGAGAAATGATTAAAAGAACTAAATAGGCCCAATTCATCCCTGTAACCCATTTGACAGCAGTGGAGTTATATCTGGAGTAGATATGGCCAAGATTTAGGGCCAGATTTTTCAAAATTGCTCAGGGCCAAGTTTTTCAAGGGCGCAGCACCAACAACTGGAGAGAAGGCATGATCCTCAAAAGGTGCAACAAGGAGCAAAGCCTAGACAATTTAGGCTCAATATCTGGGGACTCTGCCACAGCCTCAAAGACCTCACCGTTAGGAAGAATCTCCAGGAGGAAGTGATAGAAACATCCTCATGTGCATCCTCTAAAACTAGATTGGGCAAAGTGCTGGAGACTGATTGTATTGTAGCAAACCATCCTTCAGTGGACCCTGGGAATGAACTAGGTGACCAAAGAGGACTTTTCCAGATAAAATTATAGGATGCACCTTATTTTACACACTACTATTTCTATCCTGATAATCCCTACAGATTCCAACCAGGGATCCAGGGCCCAGTGTGTTAGGCACTGTATGCACATATAATAACAAGACAGTCCATGCTCCAAATCAAATCTATATTTAAGATGAGACAACAGCCGATGGAAGAAACAAACTGGGGGAAGGAGAAAATAAACCGTGAACCAATCCTAATTATCTTCCTCAGTAAAAGGAACAGCATACCAGCTGCCTAAGTTGCTAGCTTTTTAGGAAGATTTGACCTGATTCTTTTCAGCAGGTAACTTCTCCTGACACCGGCCTGAGGTCTTCACCCAGTTTAAATTCAGTCCTGACTCAGGAAAACCTCAGGACCTCATCCACTAATGGTATTTAAAACCATGAAGAAAGGGCTAAATTCAGTACTGGTGTACCCCAACGTTGATGTCAATGGCACTGCACTCCTGTAAGTCAACTGCACTTGGCAATGGGAATATGTTCTTTCCGTGATGTGTGCACACCATTCCTTGAATAGTGGGCCAAATATTGGTGTTCTTACTCGGGGGCGGGGGAAGACTCCCAGTGGGATCATTACTATGGTCTGAAAATTGTGTGTTGGAGGCTACAAAGGCGGATAGTTGTTTCTGAGAGTTTGTCAGTGGCTTTGGACTCAGAATGTGCTCCTACCATTTCTGTGCCATTGACACAAGAACAAGCTGGTGAGGTGGTTTAGGGACAGACCTGATGAAGAGGTGCTTATGGCAAGGGGAATATGTACCCACTTTGTCCCCAGGCCATACTCTGCAAATATTGCCTACTCCCCTTGAACAGACAGACCCACCTGCCATAGGTGAACTGACACTTTTTGCAGCAAATGACTTTATATGCTGAATGTTATCAGGGTTTTGGCTGATTTCATCTTCTCATTTCTTTTCAAGCTGTGTTTCCCTCCGTTTCCTGGCTTCCAAAAATCTTCCCAAGAGGAGCTCCACCTTAGCTACTACAGACTCCCTTCGAGAGAATTGAGTCATTAACCATTGGATCAGCTTGCCAAGGTAGGTGCTGGATTCACTCTACAGTGGAACCCAAAGTCTTTAAGTCAAGATTGGATGGCCATTTAAAATATACACTGTAGCTTGGTTTAGGGATTACTGGGTGAAATTCTCTGGTCTGTGCTAGTCAGGAAGTCAGACTAGAGGATCATAATAGTCCTTTCTTGCTTTAGAATCTATTAGTAGATTTATTTTCGACAGCATCCACAACATGTTAAGCTCTTTCCAACCAGAAAAGAGAGGGTGATCCCTACCCCCAAAGTACTCTCCTCTAAAGACAGACCAACATAGGGGAAGGGGGAGGGCCAAGTGGTCAAGGTGGTGAGTGGCCTTACTATGGGAAGTCAAGAGTAATTATTATTTAAATGGAGTATATAAACTATTGCCAATGACTCCTCAGACTTGTCGTTGTCATTGGTCAACTAGATTCCCATTAGTATCATGGCCTAATTTGGCCTTCAGGAGGGACTCAAATGCAGAGAGTTTGGTGAACTTGTGAATGAGCTGCATGCATAGGGGGTGACAAGGAACAAAACATAAGGATATTTGTGTGGAAAAGCTGACAGAAGGGCCATTAAGGCTGACCTCATTTGTGGAGTGAGGGGTGGGGGATGAAAAGAAACAGGGAAGAATAAGGCAGGAGACACAGTTATGAAAGGTATTGAAGTTGATAAGCTTGAGCCTGATGCATTGGAAGACAGGGAGCCAATGGAGGTAGTCAAAGAAAAGACCACCTGGTCACAGCAAGGAAGATGAGCATTGTGGCAGCCTTTGTATGGATGGGAGTAGAGCGATGAGGAGGCAGTTACAGTAGGCAAGAGGGGAGTCCTGGACAAGAGCTTTCAAAGAAGACTGGAGAGAGAGAAGAACAGGATTTAGAGATGATGTGAGGGTGACAGAACAGGAATTAGGGATTCAAAAAAACCAGTGATGGAAGGAATGGTGATAAAGAATAAGGCTGTGGGAAGGGATTGGGAGGGAAGACGAGGACTTTAAGTTTGGCTGTGTGAAGTCTGAGTTGATGGCAAAACATTCCGGTAAGAGTCCCACTGGTCCTCCTTGTGGCCATGGAAGTTTAATTACAGAGCAGCATATTCCCCCTTCTTGTCAGATAGGAACCTGTGTGGCAAGTTACCTAAATTATCTGGGTTTTGCAGACTAAGACCTGGACTGCACTGGTCAGTGCCAAATGTCTCCTACTCAACTCTGTACTCTCTGAGGCTGGGTGACTCCAAACCTCAGCCTTCCAACCATGGTCCAAGCTACACTGGAATGTAGAATGAGACATGAATGGGAGACGGGCAGCAGTCTTGCTCCTGAGGCTAGAGTAGAGGTTCATTAGAAAGGGGAAGTACGCCTGAAATGAGAACTTTGGGTCCCAGACACCCCCGAGTACTGGGAAGCTCCCATCCAGATCAAAAGCCTGCAGAGCCTGTGCTCATGCAGTCACTGACAGCAGTGGTGGGGAGCCGCCATTTTAACAGTCACCTTTTCTCACATCAGCTGAACTCTAGGCCTTCAAAAAAAAAAAATTGGCAGCCTCTATCTGTCCGAAGTATGAATGAATAGAAACACCAAAGGAAGCACCTGCTGCTGAAGGAAATCCAGGACAACTTTTATTATCCTTTTTCACAGGTCTATTCAGGACTACATTAGGGGTTTCCTCTTTCCTTTTGTGGTACTTCACACTCCTTCACAATGAGAGAACCTATTGTGCTTTTGAGTTATATGCCAGAGAATATAACCGGAGCTTATAAAAGCCCTGGACAACAGAACTTTATTTTTAAACTTTATTCCCCGGTGAATTATTTGCAAAGTGTTGCAATTGTTTGGAGGATTTTTGGTGGTTTTTTGTTTTCTCCCTGTGTCTCGCTCTCTCTCGGATTGTGCTGGGGAACATGAGGGTGAATCCTGTCCATGCTTTAACAAAAGCTCCCTTTCAATAAATGACCAGAAAAGAAGGTAAGCAGAGCTCCTAAACCACCTCAGCTGTAGGTTACTTTTGACAAATAATCAGCGTGATCTATGCTAATTCAAAGTGCCCTGAAGGAAATAGAAAAAACTCCTATTGTGTAGCCTCATATAGGCTTTGCATCCACCTGCTCTGATCCCCACTGAAGTCCATGGCAGTCTTTCCATTTTCAAAGTAACTAGAGCTGCCCAGGTGGGCGAAGAGAGAAACCCAGTGTTCCTCTGCTCAACTGCAGGATTGTGAAGGGCTCATCTGGAGAATGACCCTGAATACACTGGGAGGGCTCTGAGTTTGCTTATCTAATATATATGTGCGCGCTCTCTCTATTTAAAAAAAAAAAACCATGGAGAGCTTATATTTTGACTTATATAATATCTTAAATATTTGCATCATGGGCCACATTTGGGCCAAAATATTTGTTCTGCCTGGTCATTTACACTGGTGCAAACTAGGTGTCAAACACTCCCCAGTTAGAATGGTAGAATTTGACCCGATTGTGAACAGGTGTGTAATGGGGTGGTCACCTGCTCCTGCCCTTCAGCTCCCAGCTTGAAATCAGCCCTGGGAGAGGGCGGCGGCTGCTGCTAGGGAAAGCAGCAAGCCTCAGCTGACTGGGGAAACAGCTGCAGCCATGCCACAATCGGGGCCCAGCTGGCCTTTATAAGAGGGCAGTGGGCCAGGAGGACACAGTCCCTCTCTAGATGTTGAGAGGGAGGGGCCTGACTGCTGGGAGCTGAGCAGGTTTACATAAAGTGGAGCAGGGCTGGGGAAAGGCCAGAGGAGCTCCAGCCTGAGAAACCCCCAGGCTGCAGGCCTTGATGAAGGCCTAGGAAAAGGGTACTGGGGTGGCAAAGGGCAGCCCAAGGGTAGGCAGAAGCAGTAGATTACCAATTATACTGCAGTCCGCCCAGGGAGCAGGGGCTAGATGGTGACTGGCAGTAGCCAAAGACTGAGGTGGGGCTAGAAGGTGAGGGGTTCCCCAGGGTGGGGAGACCCAGATCTGTGGAGGTACTGGCCAGGGGGCAGTACCCTGGCGTGAAAGAGGCACCGGGGTCCAGGAGGGACTTGGGGCCCAGCAGCAAGCAGAACACTAGCCTGCAGAGGGCACTCCGGAGGCTGGAAACGCTAATTCCCTGGATGACCAGCAGGAGGCGCCGCAGGGGTGAGTCACCACCCTGCTACAAGGTGTAACTGTCTACACAGGTGCAGTGCAGTGGAGAACCAGGGACATAAACATGCTTTGTGCTTTCTCCCATCCTCCCCCTTAGACATGGTAGGAGCGCCACATAAACAGCCACAAAGCTACTTCATGGTCCTCCTTCAAAGGCTTCCTTAAGTCTCACCTGACATTATGCCTACAAAAATCTTGGCAGCTGTGGGTGCTATGACCACAGCATCTCATGCCAATACGCATTGGCTCATCGTTACTTGCTGCTCCCCTGCCTGGTTGTTATATCTTGTCTTATACTTAGACTGCAAGCTCCTCAGGAGAGGGATCATCTGTTCTGGTTTTGTACAGCACCTAGTGCAATGGGGTCCTGATCCAGGATTGGGCTCCTAGGTGCTATCACAATACAAATAATAATGGTGAATAATCACATGGGGCTTCTAGAGGTCCCATTCCACTTTTTGCAAGAACAAGTCTGTTAATCCTGGTTAAATAATTCCTATTTAGGTGACTACACTCTGGTTCCTAACTTTCCCTTCCAGTTTCCACTGGACTTGGGGTTCTTCCTCATCTCCTTACTGTGATGTTGCTCCCTACACAGAAAGTCTGAATGGCCTTTATTTTAGATGAAGAGACCAAAACAAGAAAGAAAAGCAGCGTCCCAGCATGCAAGCGTGTGTCTGACAGCCCACGCTGAAGTGAAGCACAAGATGGCTGCCTCCCCCTGAAGACGACAGTGTCCTGGCAAATTGCCCTGTACGCACATGTGCGTGCACACAATCAAAACCCCCCAACTCACTTCTTTCCTCAACGTTTTGGGGATGGAAGTGTGTGCTGACAGCTGGGGTTTGTGCAACAAGACTGGAGTGGGTTTTTCTTTTCTCTGCTGGGTTTTTGAAGTGGCTGCCATATTTAGTACCGCTGTTAATAGATAACAGAGGCACCTAGAGCCCTGGATAGGTGCTCCCTAACATCTTGTACTAATCTAAACTAACAGAGCATAGTTGAATATACACCCTGCTGCTCTACCCTATTTAGAAAAACTATTTCTAGTTAGAAAAACTGGACGTGCACAAGTCCATGGGGCCAGATGCGTTGCATCCAAGAGTGCTAAAGGAATTGGCGGATGTGATTGCAGAGCCATTGGCCATTATCTCTGAAAACTCATGGCGATTGGGGGAAGTCCTGGAAGACTGGAAAAAGGCTAATGTTGTGCCCATCTTTAAAAAAGGGAAGAAGGAGGATCCTGGGAACTACAGGCCGGTCAGCCTCACCTCAGGCCCTGGAAAAATCATGGAGCATGTCCTCAAGGAATCAGTTCTGAAGCACTTGCATGAGAAGAAAGTGATCAGGAACAGCCAGCATGGATTCACCAAGGGGAAGTCATGCCTGACTAATCTAATTGCCTTCTATGATGAGAGAACTGGTTCTGTGGATGAAGGGAAAGCAGTGGACGTATTTCTCGACTTTAGCAAAGCTTTTGATACAGTCTCCCACAGTATTCTTGTCAGCAAGTTAAAGAAGTATGGGCTGGATGGATGCACTACAAGGTGGGTAGAAAGTTGGCTAGATTGTCGGGCTCAACAGGTAATGATCAATGGCTCCATGTCTAGTTGGCAGCCAGTATCTAGCGGAATGCCCCAAGGGTTGGTCCTGGGGCCGGTTTTGTTCAATATCTTCATTAATGATCTGGAGGATGGGGTGGATTGCACCCTCAGCAAGTTTGCAGATGACACTAAACTGGGAGAAGTGGTAGATACGCTGGAGGGTAGGGATAGGATACAGAGGGACCTAGACAAATTGGAGGATTGGGCCAAAAGAAATCTGAGGTTCAACA